AGGAAGAGTAGAACTGTGTCATAATGGAAGGTGGGGTACAGTCTGTGATGACTCTTGGGACAACACTGATGCTAGTGTTGTATGTAGACAGCTTGGTCTAGAAACAAGTGAGTTAGCTAATATCATGTATTGTGACTACTCCTCTCATTAGATGGAACAGCTCTAAGCAGTGCATACTTTGGTCAGGGAAATGGATCAATATTTTTGGCTAATGTTTCCTGCAATGAAGCTGAAATGTTTTTTGAAAACTGCACACATGACTTTGATATTTTAAGTTACAACTGCTCACATTCAAAGGATGCTGGAGTGATGTGTCTAAGTGAGTGTGTCATATATATATTATGAGATTGTTAATTTGTGGTATAGGTTGCATTGATGGATCCATTCGTCTTGTTGGTGGTACAAACAGCAAGGAGGGACGTGTTGAGGTATGCAGTGGTGGAATGTGGGGGACAGTCTGTGATGACTACTGGGACAACACTGATGCTAGTGTTGTATGTAGACAGTTGGGATATCATTCTGGTAAGGAAAAATTATAGATTGCACTGTGACTGTCCCAACATAGGAACTGCCTTTGGTAGTGCCTACTTTGGACAAGGAACTGGATCAATAGTGATGGATAATGTTCATTGCAATGGAACTGAATCTCTCCTTAAAAATTGTACACACATCACAGAACACAACTGTAATCATAATGAAGATGCAGGAGTCAAATGTGTTTGTAAGTATTGCATTGTTGATCAATTGTTTGCTTTGACTGTATATAGGTACTGGTGTAAACCCTTTTTCTGCTGCATGTTTTGTTGGCATCTTTTTGTACAAATGGTTTAATATTTTTATGTCCTCTAGCTAGTTAAATGTTTTTAAGGTATGCTTGTACTGATACTTTCATATGACAACAGAAAAGTATATCTTATTGTGGGGAATTATGTATTAATATTGTATCAGTCCTCCATGGACCTGCAGTATCTTTAAGATGAAACCTGCCTGGTAGATGGCAAGGGGCTTAGTAATTGTTTACAAGCATCTGCTGTACATGTATGCAAGATGTTTTTGAGAGAGCATCTGCTGTACATGTATGCCAGATGTTTTTGAGAGAGCATCTGCTGTACATGTATGCCAGATGTTTTTGAGAGATCAAACTTTTGTGGCTAAAATGAAAATCTTTTTTTTTAATTTTTGTAAATGTAAATTTTTGTAAGTGTAAATATTCTAGCAAGTATAGCCATAAATGAATTTTATGCACATTTAGCTACTGTATACTCTAGATAGTCTTTTGTGATTCTAACAGCACAAAAATAAGTCCTTTTGCCCTCTTAATTGACCATAGCATCGAATAAGTCTCATTCTTTTAATATTGTGACTATGACACTTGTGATACGTGTTTGGCAACCAATATACCATTATCTATGCCCACTTCAATTTAAATGATGAAATATCATTACAAGGTCATGTGTAAAATAAAAAACAATTCTTTATAGTATGTGCTGATGAATCAATCCGCCTTGTCAATGGTTCACATGATTGGGAAGGAAGAGTGGAAGTATGTGTTAGTGGATCTTGGGGCACTGTCTGTGATAATAACTGGGACTCCAATGATGCAGCAGCAGTGTGTAGACAACTAGGCTGGGGATCAAGTGAGTTGATTCATTGTGATAGTTATTATTTATGATATATTATCAAAGGTGGAAGTGCTCTATTAAATGCTTACTTTGGTCAAGGTGATGGTAGTATCCACCTGGATAATGTTCATTGCTTTGGGACTGAGCAATTATTGACAAATTGTAGAAACTCAACCACCCACAACTGTGGAAACTCTAAGGATGCTGGAGTAGCTTGTCATGGTTAGCTTCATAAATAACAGTATTGTTAAGTAATGGGTTTATTACTTTAGTTTGTACTCCTGGTACTGTGCGTCTTGTTAATGGATCAAACTCTATTGAGGGAAGAGTAGAACTGTGTCATAATGGAAGGTGGGGTACAGTCTGTGATGACTCCTGGGACAACACTGATGCTAGTGTTGTATGTAGACAGCTGGGATATGGTCCAGGTGAGGAAAGGTTTTTAGGTTGCACTATTACTGTCCTAACTTAGGAACTGCTTTTTATGATGCCTACTTTGGACAAGGAAATGGATCAGTTGTAATAGATGATGTTGATTGTAATGGAAGTGAATCTTACCTTACTAACTGCACACACACCACAGAACACAACTGTAATGATAAGGAAGTTGCAGGAGTCAGATGTTCCTGTAAGTTGTACTGGTAGTTAGAATAATTCTGCTCTAATAATAGCAAAATTATTTAACTTGGCCAAACTTGTATTCTTCAAGCTTGATAGATGAAATTAAAACCGAAAATTAAGGAACTTACTAACCTAATAGATGAACACAGTCCTTCCACAAAATAAAGACCCTGTACTATACAGGATCTTGAGCCAAATTTCATTAAACATTAGTATTTATTGGAGACGATTTACCACCTTTATAATTTTTTGATGTATACATGTACTTATGCTATGTAGAAATTTTGAGCTCATTCTGATCAAAACACAAATTTTTAAAACTGCATTAAATTTAGGCCAAAGACCCTATGGGGTCTTATGGGCAGTATAAGTGAAATATCAGCACTGCAGTATCTTTAAAGTTTGGCCTAAGTAGGATTTAATATCAACTCATCAATACAGTTACAATTACAATCAATAAAATAATTTATGGTGCGTTATGCTTTTGAACTCTCCTATAGTTATCAATGTATCTGCTAATCCAGCTTCAAATCAGTTATCATCTATTGTGGTACCAGTGGCAATAACTGTTTTATTGATGTTGCTGGCAGTGTTTGGAGTAGGATTATTTGTTGCTTGTTTTATTATTAAGAGAAGGAATCGTAAGCAACTGACTAGGAGAATTGAATCTAATTCCTCTTTTTGTAAGTACATGTAGTTCTATAATCTGACAAAATATTCTTAACAATTTTTTTCTAATTTACTGAACATTTTTACTGCAATGGTCTATTTTGTCATTAATATTACGTAATAATTAATTGCATGTAGTTTCGAGAAGCAACAAAGAAAATATCTACGCTTCTAGTTCTAACAGAAAATTTGAGATTTCATCTGAATATATGATTCAGCTGTCAAGTTGTATAATACCAGGCTCAAGCATTAGTATGCAAGAGACTGCTGGACAAGGTTTGTGGAGTTTGATAATTATTTGTATTTTTGCCTTTCCCCATCTTTCTTTTGTCCTTCTTTTCCTACTAATTGGATCTATTATATTTTTTACACTTTAGGTGAGTTTGGTATAGTTTATCGTGGAGTGATGAC